CCTGTAATCCCAGCTCTTAGGAGGCTATAAACAGGAGGATCACTATGAGTCCAATGTAGTAGTGAGACCCTAAACACCCTGTAGGTCTTCCCCTAAAATACCAAGAACCAAACCGAACCAAACTAAAACAAAACACTCCATGGCCCAATAAATTATTTTCAAATTAAGGAAATACTCAAGTACCTTAAATTTCTTCCTTTTATAACTTATATAAACTTTTACTATTCATCCTGAATTATAATTTAAAAAAGTATTAAAATCAATAGTTTGAATAAAGAAATAAAATCTCATATACACTTACCACAGATGAACACCAGCATTTCCAAAACCAATGCCAGCAAAAGCACTTGCCAAGTGCATGTTAGACCTTGCTTCAAGATCATCAGGATTCCTGACAGCCCTATGAATTGTATAAATACAGAACATTAACACATCAACATTGATATTTCCTTCTGAATAAAGAGCTGCCTTCGGGAAAGATCTGGGGGGAAAGTGCCACTCAGTAGGAAGAAAATTCGGAAAGTTGTTCAAATGATGCCTTGTCTTCCAAATGAAAATGGAAGGGATATGTATTTTCTCATCAGCAGTTTCCCCAAAGGCATAATAAATACACTGTCAGCTGCTCATGGGATATAAAAATGCCTGGGGAAGCAAAGGCTTGGTCCTTGGACTGTGAAAGCTGCTTGAGGGCAGTGCCCCAAGACTCATATTCTTTTTCTTCATTTGTCCATGACCTTGATGGCAGCTGTGAATGGACTCAGAGTAAACATATTCTCAGAATTGTACCATGAACCCCTGTTACCCGGGGCTACCTGACTGCCCAGTCATCTTTCTTCATGACACAATGACCCAAATCAGACCCATCAGGGACCTCTTGGTACCCGTGTAAACCGCACGTCTGTTCTCTTACTGTTATTGGGGAAGTGAGATGTTATTGCACGACCAGCTTTTGTTTGTTCTGTGCCACTCAGGAAAGGTAAATTCTCAAAGGCTCCTGTGAGATTCGGCTCAGCCTTTCTGCATATTCTGCTTGGAAACCTGCCCTGGGGAGGAAGCCTGCCCAATGCCAGCGAACCACTTCTACTTTGTGTTTCACTATTCTGCCTCAAGGTAGTGTTCTTGTTTACATAAAAGTGCTGTCATTATACCTCCCTTCCAAAATCCAAAGTCAGCTTTTGCTTCTCTAAGGAAAGAACAAGGTGAAATAGTGCTTACGGAGCTTTAGGCCCTCCATTGGTCCACCTCATTGTCCACCACTTTCACCATGGCTTTGCTAATCCTGCTGTCCCTGTTAGATCAACTGGCTTCCCTAGGGTCTTCCAGTGTTCTTTGCTACTTTCCCATGCTCTACTACAAAATGTGATTCAGAGGCCTTGTCTTCAGTGCAGCTGCTAGCTCCAGGCCAGAGGAAGCACTGTATCCAAGTCTACGCCCAACCTGCTGTGTATACACAATGTAAATGTATGTAAATGGTGCCTTTTTTCATGAACTTGATTCTTTTCACAATTCTGGTCTCAAACTGAATTGGATGAGAACTTAATCAAATTTCCACATAAGGTCAGCACTGAACCTAACCACTGGATTTGATTTGGTTCATATCTAACTCAGTTTGGGACCAGAACTCAGTGTCTCTCACATGTGAGGCAAATGCTCTATCTTTTCTTTTCTTTCTTTCTTTCTTTTCTTTTTCTTTTTTTTTTTTTTGTGGAACTGGGGATTGAATTCAGGCCCTTGCGCTTGCCAGGGAAGCGCTTATTCTACTGAGCCATCTCCCCAGCCCCCTATCTTTTCTTTTTTATTTTTGAGACAGGGTCTTTATCTGAAGCTGGTCTTGAACTCACAACGCTCCTTCTGTCTTAGCCTCCCAAGTGCTGGGATTACAGGTGTATGCCACCCACTAAGAATGTGCTCTACCACTGAGCTACATTCTGAACTGTAAGTTTAAAAGAAATTAATGGGGTTATTATATTCCCCCGGATGGCTTCAAACTCCTGGTGTCAAGTGATCTTCTTGGGACTACAGACACGTGTACTGTATCTAGATTGTAATTTTTGAGACTGGGTCTTGTATTTTAGGCTGGTCTTAAAGTCATTGCATGGCCTAAGTTGGCCTCAAACTCATGACAATCATCATTCCTCAGCTTCCTGAGTTGTGTTTGTAGTACCCTTAAATCTTTCAAAACTTTTTCAGGCATTTTTTTTTTACACTTTTTGTTCTTACATCTCCTAGGTCAGTAATTGGTATACGTTGTTTCTTAAATTTAGTTCACATGTGCTTTCTCAGTGGAGGCTTCTCTGTACATTTGCAAAGGTTTGGATGGTTGGTTCTCATTTTGGTCCTGGGTAGCCAGAGCTCAAAAGGTATCTCCCTCATCCTAGCTTTGGTTTTGAGACTTTGATAAACAAACCTACACTTATTTAATCTGTGCCCTACATAAACTGGGGTTTTCCATTTGTCCCTGGCTCTAGGACACTAAAGGATTTGGTTTTCCTTTGCAGATTAAGGGTCCAGTTTTCACTGCCAGCCCTGAGATCCCTTCAGAGGTTGTTCCTGTCTGATGCTTCTCTATGTCCATGGCCTGATCTGGTGAACAGACTGGCTCAGGATGATTTTGGATCAGACATGCCACAGTCCATGTAATGGCAGGATATGGTTTCTCTATTCTGTCTGTCCTTTCGGGATGACATACCTCTTCAGATACTTGGCAACGATCCGCAGTGCTTGGACTGACCAAATGTCACTGATTGGGTTGCTGCCCTGGTACGCTGGTCGAGAGATGGGATTGGAGGGGCAGGGGCTCCGCATGTGGTACGGCAGGGCAGTGTAGGACTCCAGGGCATGGCTGAAGTGAAGCACATAAAATACACAGAATGAAAACCTGTCTCTCTCCTTCCCGTCATTCAACTACAAACTGGCACTCCATTGTAGGAATGATATTTGGCACCCGATGATTATACACACTGTACCAGTCAACCTCTCATCCATGATAGTTACTGCCTAGTATAGAAATTAATATTGTCAATGTATTTATGTCATAGCACTACAGTATTTTCGACCAATATATGCATTCTAGTGTGCTATTTCATGGTAAGGTGACTACAGGCAGTGTCTGTATATTGCATATCTCAAAACTCCAGAGGAAAGGATTTTGAATGTTTTTACCCTGAAGGAGTGATACATGTTTGAGAAGCAGTTATATTTAACTTTATCACACAATGTATACATTTGGATTGTCTACTTTCCTCTGCTGAAACAAAATACTTGACACATGCAACTTAAAGGAGGGTTTATTTCTCATGGTTTCAGTTCATAGCTGGTTGCAAGTCAGAAACAGGATGGCAGAGGGGTGTGGCAGAGGAAAATGTGCTCAACCCAGGCTGGAGAGAGGGAGAGGCAGAGGGAGAAGGAGAGGCAGAGAGGGAGGCAGGGAAAGGAAGAGGCAGAGGGAGAGGGAGAGGAGCAGAGGGAGAGGAAGAGAGGGAGAGGCAGAGGGAGAGGGACAGGCAGAGAGGGAGAGGAAGAGAGGGAGAGGCAGGGAGAGGGAGAGGGACAGGAGGAGAGGGAGAGGAAGAGAGGGAGAGGGACAGGAGGAGAGGGAGAGGAACAGAGGGAGAGGCAGAGGGAGAGGGAGAGGAGGAGAGGGAGAGGCAGAAGGAGAGGGAGAAGAGGAGAGGGACAGGAGGAGATGGAGAGGAAGAGAGGGAGAGGCAGAGGGAGAGGGAGAGGCGGAGAGGGAGGCAGGGAGAGGGAGAGGAGCAGAAGGAGAGGAAGAGAGGGAGAGGTAGAGGGAGAGGGAGAGACAGAGGGAGACAGGGAGAGGGAGAGGCAGAGGGAGAGACGAAGAGAGGGAGCGAGCAAGAGGGGGAAAGGAAAGGCTGGGAACAGGAATTCACTCTCCCAGGCCATGCCCTCTGTGAATTACCTCCAATCAGGTCCCTGACAGCGCATTCAGCCACTAAATTCATCAGTGGAGCACACTCCCAGATCCAACTACCTTCCAAATGCATGAGAATTTGGGTGTCCCTTTTAGATCTAAATCATCACAATATATAACAAAATATCATATGATATCCCTAAATGTATAATTTTCATGTTTCATGAATCAACTGAAAAATTAATTTAAAAACTCTATATATGGCCCTTTTCTAGTGTAAATAAATCTTTTTGATGCTGTTATCAAACATTTGAACTATGAAAAAGAAGCAGTGAATCTAAAAAATAATTTATTTGTAGAAGACACCTGCTATTACACACCTAGCACTGATCAAGTACCATATTACTAAAGGAGGGCCATAGTTACAAAGACTCCTAAGAGTGTAGTGTGGTGAGCTAGAACACATACATACTCTGAGGTCAGCTGCCCCCAGTAAGTCCTGCCACCAGATGTTCCCACTGCAGGCTGGAGGTGAGGCTCTACCCTTCCCATGCCTCGAAGACAGAGATAAGTGATAGCAGATCTTTATGCTGCAGTTGTGAAAACTAAATGAGTTGACACATATAAGTACTTAGAATAATTCTGATACCTTATAAAACTTAATATTAATAATTATTCTTATTATTGTTAATTCTTGTCTGGAAAAAAATCTGATTTTTTTTCCTCCTGTGCCCTAAATTCAAAGTTAGCTATTTAAGAACTAGGCTTAGGAGTGGCCTTCATTGGCTGGCCTGACAAGGAGTCTAGCTCTTCACCTGCAGGAGACCAGACTGCACAGAGCATACAAAGCAGGGATGCACTGGGACATAATGTCACATGAGCTATGTTTTGCATGAATTACAGTTTCAGTCTTAGAGTGGAGAAGCATGTGAGAAGCAGAAAACTATCTTTTGAACAAAGTATTAGAAATTAAAAAAAAAATCACTTATTGGGCCGGGGAGATAGCCCAGCAGCTTAAGTGCCTGCCTAACAAGTGCAAGGTCCTGAGTTTGATCTCTGGTACCAATAAATAAATAAATATTATTTTTAAATAATATTTAAAAATATTATTCACTATGCAGCTCAGATTTGTGGTGATCCTCCTGCTTTCAGCCTCCCCAGTACTGGGATTACTGACATGCACCCACCTGGAATCTGTGGCTGGCTCAGCCCACAGTGTGGGCGGGGCTGGTGCAGCATGTGATGCTGGGGATCTAACTGGGGTTCCTGCACTCGCCTAAGCAGGCACTTAGTCCGCTGAGCTATCTTGCCGGCCCCTATTTATTTATTTGGTACACTGTCTCGCTACACAGCTCGGATTCCTAGTGATTGTCCTGTCTCAGCCTCCCAACTGCTGGAATTACAGGTGTACACCACTATGTCTGGTTTTGTTGGCTGGCATGGAGCACCTGGGGTTCTGGGGCTGGCAAGATGTGGTAACAGGGATCAAACCTGGGTCCTTGTGCTTGCCAGTCAGGCACTTACACTGTGGAGCTATCTCCCCAGCTCCTAGAAAGTTTTTAAAAAGTCAGTTAGTAGATGGATGCTACGGCCTTGTGTCTAACTAGGAAATATGTGAGCAATGTAAGAATGGTGTGTACACACGGGAAGGATGGCAGGCAGGATCCATGCGGCTCGGTGTCTTACCTCTGCTTTGCAGCAGGTCTAAATGGCATGTAGTTTGTGAATCTAAGCAGACCTATTTCTCAGGGGTGGACTCACTCATTGAGCTAAGCTCACAGACTCCATGTGTAAATCCTGGAAATTACATTATTGACTTACAATGAAAAACGCAACTGGTACGGTGGACAGACAACTGAGTCTTCCAGCACCGTCTCTACAGGCACCTTTTGTGATGGCCAATTTATGATCAGAGGCCAATGGAATCCTAATAAGTGGAGTACCTGTAGGGCTTAATGCATGTCTGGATCTTGAATGTTCCCCCAAATCCCTTGTGTTAAAGGCTTGGTTGTCAGGCTATGGCTCTTAGGAGGGGTAGAAGAGATTTTTAGTAGATGGTGCTGAGTGGGAGAAAGCTAGGTCATTGGGCATATACCTTTGAACTAGATACTGAGACTCTGGCTGCTTCCTGTTACTCTCTGTGCCCTCCTGGCCACCATCAGGTGAATGGTCTTTCTCAGCCACTTTCTCATATATAACATACTGCGTTACTACAGGGCCAGTGCAACAGGGCTAAGTGAACATGATTGAAACCTCTGAAACTGTGATCCAGAATAAACTTCTCTTTTGTGTTGTTTTAGGTATCCTGTCACAGTGGCAGGAAGTTGAATAACACCATTATTTTCTTTACTTCTTGTCCACATCCCTTTGGATTGACAGTGAGGTCTGTAGAGTTCAGAAGGATAACCTTATTTCTCCTATTTCCAAATAGTTAAGAGACAGCTCATTAAATTCTGACAACATTGGCCAGGAAGGAGTTGGACACAATTTTTGAATGCCTTAGCAGGCAGTAAGATACATTAATAAAAGCAGCAATATGAATAGACTTCGATGTAGACCCTAACTCCATCTGTTCCTGCTTATATAAATGTTATTCAATAGCAATTCAGTAAGAATCTATGATGTGACAGTCACTCTGCTAGGGGCTGGGTTAGAGATCAGATGGCCCTATCATCAGCAAGTGTACAGGGCACTGGACAGATGCAAGTGAGAGAGGTTCTCAGAAGCAATGAGCAGGCTACGCAGGGGGAACAGCAAAGGGTGAGAGGCTAGTTGTGTTTTAGGAAAAAGGAGGGGGACAAGGGTTAGAGGATGGATCGCCCCACGGAATTGAACATGTCTCCTCAAAACATAAAGAGTTGAGCCCTAGGGAGATGCCGAGGTCTATGGATACATAAGTGTGCATATTCCTATGTGTGAGATGGTTGTATTACAATCTGGAAGCTTGTTGAAGTCACTACAGAGGACAAAAGAAAGGACTAAGGAATGGGATCAGGAAGCCAATGGTACTGACTATTGCAGTGGTCCAGGCAAGAGCTGGGGCAGACTGGAACCAAGATAGGAACAGTAAAGTCTAAGAATATGGAGAAGATAAAAGAGAGTCAGTGCCAAAATGAAACAAGCTGTTCTATATAATAGGCACAAATGGGGGGAGGGAGGAGAGAGGGAAGAAGGGAAGGGAAGAGAGAAAGAAAAAGAAGGAAGAAGAGGAGGGGAGAAAGGAAAGAGGAGAGAGGGGAGAAGGGAGAGGGGAGAGAAGCAGAACAAGAGACAGGATATACTGAGTCTTACCACTTGTGGAGCTAGTGGACTCAGAAGTGGGGTTATCAAGAGAATTGTCAAAGCTCATCAAATTTAAGATGCCATGCAGTATAAGATACACTATTAAAAATTACTCTGAGGATAAAAAACACCACCATCCATAGATTTTAATTTATTTATTTGGTACAGGGTCTTGCTATGAAGCTCAAACTCATAGTGATCCTCCTGTCTCAGTCTCCCCAGCAGTGGGATTACAGGTATGTGTCACTACTCCTGGTTTCAGGGACCAGAACCACATGGCCAGCAGTGATGAAGGGTGTTCCTCAAGGCTACTGGAACTAATGACCAGAGTTCAGAAGTGAGGTCTACAGCAGAAATACTGTTGAGAGCCCTGCTGCTGAGCTATCTCCCTGACCCTCTACTTCTATTTTTATATCCATGAAAGTCACAATACACAGTGCTGCAAGGAAGTGAGGATGTGTGTAAAGTAATGACATAGTGTACATATCTGGGGAGAGGTTTTGGAGACACCAGATCCCTTCCCTGCCCTCTCCTGTGGTACAGCCCTGGCCCTTCCCTAGTTTGGTTGGTATAAACACAGGTGCTGTGGTCCTGAGACATCACATGTCACCTCAAGCTGCTCCTTTATAAGTGACCCTAGAGCCATGGCCAAGGCTAGAGTGGTCCCTTCAAACAGCATGTTTGTTTGTAGCACATACCAGGCCTAGCCACCAACTTTTACAGCTGCAAGGCTTTCATCTAGGAAAGTGGGTAAGTGACGCCAGGGTGAGGCATGCTGTGTAGCGTTAATCAGTGGCACTTTATTAGTGTCTGTAACCAGGCACTCGGGCAATCAAACACTTTCCGTAGCTCTGGGGAAAGTCCCTTCAGGTACTCACCAAAGCACATCGAAACCACTGTTGGCGACCACCTGACCAGGCATGTGGAGCGTGTGCAGAGGATCAACTAATCCCAGTGTGGGTTTGATGGCTCGTGAAGCAATGCCTAAAATGTACGGATTTTTCAGTAAGTGCTAATGTTATGGGCACTATTTTTTAAAAAATAAAATATTTTAGGAGGCTAGGGAGATAGTTCAGTAGAATAAGTGCTTCCCTGGCAAGCACAAGGGTCTGAGTTCAATCCTTGGTTCCGAAAAAAAAAAAAAAAAAAAAAAAAAAAAATTATCCTAAGAAAAGCACAAAAAAGATCCATTCTCATGTAGAAAGGCAGCAAGGAGTGGAAATGCATGTAGAATCAGAACTCTGGGCTTTTCAGAGGTGTGCTGGAGCCACAGCTACCAGAGCCCATAAGCCAACTGCACACATCTCTTCCCACCTTCTGGAAGGGTGACATCGCTGGCTAGGATAGAAGCATTTACACCACAGGCACTGGCAAATGCTACAAACAGGGCTTGTTTGTTTTTTTATTATTAAATTCCAGAGAACTGGTTTACTGGTACACCACTGGCCCTTGCTCAGGAGCTTACTTTGTGTTTTGGGGCCAAATAGTCTCTCTAAATTCTCTGTCAAATAACATGGGGTCTCTATCCCTCCCAGAACTGTTCCAGGGATCAAATCAGATAGCATTATGTAAGTTTTAAAAATAAAATTTGAGGCAAATTTGTTGGAAACCATTACTATTATCTTTAAACATGTCAAAAATACAATAATTAAAAAGAAGCTCACATAGGTTTACAACTGAACATCAACTTATTCTGATGAAAGGGTTGGAATCCTAGAAACAAGACTTTGATCCAGACTCTAGGGAAGGGATATCCCTATCATATTAGCCAAAGAGTCAGTGGCAGATAGAGAAGCCAGATTAAAAGGACTAAGACGGTAGAACAGAGGCATTTGCATTAGTACACATGATGCCTAGTTCAACACTGCAACTCTCTGATTTCTAAAAAATAAGTTTAAAGCAAAGGAGGAGTTGAAATGCAAGAGAGAGAATTTTTAAAAAGTAGGGGCAAAGTTCTTACCAGTTTTGACTTTCAAGTGTTCATAGTCAAAAATGGCAACCCCAGTAGTTTCACTCCCAGTTCCTGAGGTAGTTGGGACTTGAACAAAATAATATTAATTTTAATAAAGCACCTAAATAAAAGTCAGCATGTATATTTAATTAAAAACAAGAAACAGAAGAGGAAGCTTAATAGCCTTATTGCTTGCCTGATATCTATATCAATATAACATGCATGTAAGCCAAACCTACATGATGTCTGTGTTTGCATTAGTACACATGATGCCTGGGTAAGCATTAACAGGTAAGTATGAAGTATGTATCTGTACTACTCCACATACATGTTTAACATGCTTGTTGGTGTATTCATTAAAACACATGCATGTTTAACATGTGTCATGCCTGTGTCTGCTGCATGGATGTATATGTGATTAATAAGTGTAGTCAGTGTCTATAATAACATGTTTGCATATTTACCATGGTTATGTGGCTTTTGTATCTGTGTAACAGGTATGTGAGATATCCATGTCCACATTAACATGCATGCATGGTATGTTTAATACGTATGCTCTCTGCATCTACACAATGTGTACCCAATACATCTATGTTTGCATTGACATGGATATGTATTGAATATGTGACCTGTGTATCCGTTCTAATATACATGCATCATGTCTGTGGCTGTTAACAGTCATATGTGTTAATCATGTGTGTGATGTCTGTGGTTATGCTAAGAGCAATGAGCTACGGGAACTTCAGACTCCTTTAGCTCCAGGGTTCATGCAGCTGCCACTAGATACTCAAATGCCTGGCACCTCAGTAAGAGCATGTATTTGCTGTCTCTAAAAGACATCTTTATTCCCACTTGGAAGCAAGCACAGGAACGCTCTGCCTTCGTTGGGCTCTGTGGTTTTGTAGTCTTGTCAAATTTCTACACTTTACTAATCGCCCCTCTGTGTAATACTGACATAGTTTCACCAGAGGGTTCCATTTGCCAGATCCCAATTATGCTGCTCCCTGCTGATTCCTCATTTATGTCAAAGCAGTTCATCTGCCACCAACTAACTTGTGTCCCATCACAGGGACCATTCACAACAGGAGCAGGAGGTGAGGACAACGAGGACAAAACTTACACAGAAGCTATTTCCCAGTTACTAGTTAACATACTTTACCTACAAAACTTTAAATAGCAATATGCTAGCAGTAATTAAAATGGAACAGAAAAAAGCCTGGAAAACCTCAAGGTCCGTAGTTTACAGTCCATAGTGGAACACACAAACTATCTTGATAAGGACTTGTGTGGCTGGGTCCTGGGCAGCCATGGGGCAGATGTCATCCAGAATGATGCAGCCGTACTGGCCACATGGCCCAGGATGAGCAAAGCCTGAGGTCAGCTGAAGAGCCATTATGTGGGAGAAAAGGTTGAGTCATTGAAAAATAATGGCAAATGTTCTTCTTAAGCTGCACAGTGGCTGGCAAAATGGGACAAGACAGATGGGTTCGGAGGACAGGCCTGCCAACACAAGGATCTAATCAGATGTCAGCAGGGACCTCCCCTCCTTCACACAGTGACTCCACAGCAAACTAAATCTGCAAACTTCCTCCCACTGACCCAAATCGTCTCTCTGTGCAATAATGAAGACCAAAATTTTAAAATGAATGAATTGTTATCTATTTTGGTCTCCAAATCTGAAAGTTTCAGAAACACAGACTCTAAAGCTAATAGCTGGTATCTTTTGTAACTTTTGCCAGTTATAAAATGAAACAAAATAAGCAATCTTTACCTGCAATCAAAGGCTTAAGAGGTACAGATACAGGCTTTCCCTTCCCAATGGGGGCATTAACATAATCAAGGAACTCCGACTGAGGGTTCGACGCGTACAGGTTAGCAGCTTTACAGGTGTCCATGGTGGAGCCACCCCCCACAGCAACATAGGCATCAAACGCGCCCCTTTTGGCAAACTCAATGGCATCCATGAAGCTTGGAGAAGAGAAAATAGGAACCATTAAGTCACTCTCTTCCTAAATTGTCATGCCATTAAATAAGGCTTGGGGCAAGTTTTCAGCAAGCGACCTGTGCTGGCTTCTGCTTAAAGTAAATAAGGATATGAAAGTACCTTGTGTCCGTTGGTTCCACCCGCACATTATCGTAAAGTTCAAAAGTGATGCCATTCTTCACGAGTGAATCCATGACTACTTGTACAGGAGGGAGGTGGGAGAGGTTCTTGTCTGTCATCAAGCAAACATTTTTAGCCCCCATGTTCTGTAGATCCTAAAAAAGAAAAACAACAAACAAACCCATACATTGGATTTAAGTAAACCAGAATTGTAATATACTCTTTGGGCAACTTAACATTGTACATCTTTAAAATAAAAGGCTTGGATGTTGTCTGTTAGCACTTGTTTTCTCAAATACTTGCCATGCCTACTTCCTTTGTAACTCCTGCTCCATACCTAATATTTGAAACAGCCATCTAAAAAAAAGAAAAAAGAAAAAGACACGCATGAGATGTATGAGAGAACCAAAAGTCTGAAATGGCCCCTCACTGTTGACAGAATACAGTAAGTGCTGCTCAGCATGGTCCTCAAGGACCCCCACCAGCTGCTCTCATGGTTTAAATAAATCTTGCTCCAGTTCATTATTTACTTAATCTTTCTGAACATCATAAATTTTGTTGTTCCTTCAGCTCCAAATGCCTGCCTTCTCCCATCTCCACACCTAAATTAAATTTCCAATTTCAGTGTTGCTGTCTCCGTCATGTCTGTTTCCCGCCCCGTCCCTTCACCCCCTCGTATGCGTGCATGCATCTGTACGGGTTCATCTGTCCTCTCGCTCATCTGTGCTATCAAGTGCTGGCTATCTAGTCCTGGCACTGTGGCCCACCCTGGTACACAATTGTGAATAAGAGAAATATGGCTTCATAAATTTTATACAGGAAAGGAGAGCTTTCATACTGGTGGATGATGGGTCATTTTGGGGGTAAAGACATGTTTTGCTTGATCCACGTTTAAATTTTTTCTCCTTTCTGGTTTATTTAAATTGTCTACTAACTCTTTTTAAATTATGGTTAGAAAAATCCAACTGGACCAGTTGGATTTATATCTCTCTTAAATAAGCTGGCAATTCTCATGTGGCAATAATCATGGGGCACTGAGTGAAGCCCCCTTCATATGGAGCCTGTGCTCACTGAGCCCTTGGTGTCATTGCAATTTATGACACTTGGATTAAAAGAAGGCAGGAATTTAAATGCATAATTATAAATAATATGTAGTTATGTTATAAAAATGAACCAGAATTAATAATTCCTTTATACTTGTTTCAGTGGATTATTTTGATTTCTCTTGGCATTTGTATCTATAAAAGTTTTAACATAAAGGGCTGGGCATGGTGGCACATGTCTGTAATCCCAGATGTCTGGAGGCTGAAGCAGGAGGATTGCTGCATGTTTGAGGCCAGCTTGGGCTGTATAGTGAGTTCAAGGCCAGACTGCACCACATGGCAAGGCCTTGTTTCAAAAAACCAACCAACCAACCAACCAACCAACCAACCAACCAACCAACCAAACAACATAACATAGAATGCATAATTTGGAGAATGTATAAAATGGGAATTTGTCCTATTTTAATGGCTGCATAGAGGACAGCCATTAAATATTTCTTTGCTGAGAAGATTTATATTTCATTACTCTTATATGTTAATTTGCTAACTAGGATTTAATCAAACAGATTATGGAACATCAAATAATAGAAAATATTAATGCATTAGCAAAATACTATAGTTTTTTTCCTCCAGGCCATTCATAAAAGACAAAAGAGTATTAATAAAATTTACCTCAAAGGCATAATCTGTAGTTTTTCCAGAAGGTGAAAGTCCAGGAGCTGGAAATGTAGAAATTACCATCAGAGTAGGCCTCAGAAATAAAGCATTAATATTATTCTTTCAATAGTAAAATCTAGCAGTGAACATAAACATCTTGCTTAACTATAAATATTTTTCAAACTTCATGATTGAGCAGGAAATTAAAATCAGTAAGAATAAAATCAATTAGAATAAAATGTAATGCTAGCTTGATGCTGACTTTATGAAAATAATGATTTCAAATATTTCTTCCACTAAATTAAAAATCAGGGCTGGAATGTAGCTCAGTAGTACAGCAATTGTATGACATGTACAAGGTCCTCGGTTCTATCGCCTGTATAGTAAAAAAAAATTCTTTTTGGAAATGTAATGTTAAAACATCCTCTAGAGTTTAGAGTTGAATTATTGCTTGGCCACAACTACTAGTGAATTCTTTAGAGTCTTGCTTACACTTTAATAGCAGCTGTGTAATTTGTTTGAATGACGATTTTTTTCCCCCAGAGGCAGTTTATTACAGTAAGATCTTTACATTTTATAAGGTCTAGGCATAAAGACAATCCTGTCTCTACTCTGCTGATGGTGATTAGTGACCAGGAGGCTTGTCCTCAGGGAGGGGCCACTCCTTGGGCAGGAAAAGCCTGGGTCAGTACTGGCCTTCTTCTCCTCCATTCCAGGCCTTTCTGTGGGATTATGCTTAGCACCTTGCACCACCAGACCCCTCTGCGTTTCTTTTCCATGATTAGATTTCATGTTTTCTTCCTTCAGGCAAAATCAATCTTCGTGTTAGTAATTCACGTGACACTCTGAGGACAATTTAAAGTCACAATGAACTTCCTGCTGTTCGGTGGACAATGGTGTTTGGTAAGGATTAAGACAGTAGTGAGAACTGAAATTTCTGTCATTTTTAATTATTGAGACACATACTGTTATTTTAAAAATGGATACAAACAAGTGTTTCCTTCTGGGAACAATGAATAAGATTTTGCTTTTAGGAACTACCTTATTCTTTAGCCTTTGCTTTTAGTGATGTCTTAGAACCTCCAAAGACTTCATCATGGTTATTTTTGTTTGATAAACATAGACATTCCTAAAATCCTGTCAGTGCAAATATTCAATTTAAACAGAAAGGCACATAAATAGTATTAAATACATGTTCGAGGCAAACTCACACCCAGTGTATAATCAGTACTCACCTTGACTAGCTGGAGCTATATTCAACCGATTTCATAGCGAAAAGGTAGCTATTTTCATTAAGTTTCACATGCCTTCATTTTCTTGCTTTATACTTTTCTCAAACATATTAAAAATGTCAAATGTAGAAACCAAAATTGCGGTTAGTGTAAAAAACACAAAATGTATTACCTTGGGAGTAAGTGTAAGAGTGAGTTGGGCATTGGCATCTAGAGTGAAGAAAAAAGTGAAGTGAAAAATGGAAACTAAACAATGATAAGCCTTAAAATAATTCACATTGCATTCTAGTCTCAAGGAGACTATCAAACTAGAAGTTACACTGGCAGACACTTTACAATAAAAAAATCCTCAGAAAACATGGTGGACAAGAGTCCATCCTATCCTGTCCAAAGTCTTTCCAGCGCTATAAGATCTTTAATAGATTCATTTATTTTAGCAGCACCTATTAAAAGCCTGTGAGCAGCGGAGATAAAGACTCTAGATACACCAAGGTCTAAGATGAGGGTCCTTGGTTTCCATAGGGACCCAACTTGCACAAGTTTAGGAGCTTTGACCAAGTCCACCCAAGTTAATTATGTCCTTGGGCCTCTTTTTGCTCATCCTCCAGGCTGCAAACTTTCCTGTCTTCCCTGCCTCTTCAAGGTTTGTGTTTTTCTTCAAACAGGCCTGGACTGGACCTTAGTTCCTTCAGGGAAGCCTTCTCTGGATCCACAGGCCTCACTGGTCACCACCTTAGGTCCCCACTCCTTCTGAGCCATAGGGTTGCAGCCCCAGTCTCTCACTCATCGAGTCCCAGGGAAACCCCAGGTCCTGACTCACAGGGTGCACCTTGCTCCCCAAGCCTATTACCTCTGAAGTCCTTTATCTCTGCTCAATTCTCAGTCAGCTTCCCCACGTACTTCATTTGGGACACAGTGTCCTTTTCCTGTCTTGGACAGTCTCTCCTCTGGCTTCTCTTTTTTCCTGTTCCTTTTTTGATTTGATTTTATATTTATTTTATTTTTTTATGGTTGGTAGGACCTTGTTATATTAAGGTCTCAGTAGACACTTGAGTACCTGATCTCTTTCCTTCTTTCTGCCAAAACTCAAATTTGGAATTAAAACATCACAGGTGGGAGGCGGGGAGAGAATGGATTTTAGGGGCCTGCAGGTGTCAAAACGTTCTGAGAAGTGGGAAATCCTAACACGCTGGAAGGGAGGAATGAGAGATACAGGTCAAGGCTGCCACCTAGCGGTCACAGCCGACTCCGGGCTCTCACAGGGGACTGGAACTTAGGCCAAAAATGATAACTGGGCCGTTCATTCACTGGTGGGCTTTACTTTTCAGGATGTGCTCTGAGCAAAGCCCTCCAAGAATAAGAAAAGCAAAGCAAAGGTTAGAAAAATATCCAGGCACAAAGCTTTCCAATGCAAAGCTCAAAGGCATACATGATTCTTTTACCTACTTCTTTTTTAATTTCAAGCTCTGAAGCTACCTCAATTCGTGTTTTAAAAGATTTTTTGGATTGTTATTAGTACATGTTTGCAGTACATAACAACTATGTTCATCATGGGGAGTTGGTGCATATCCATAACACACTTTAATTCTTTTTACTCCTCCTCCTTTCCCTCTGCCTCAGTTCACCACTTTCCTTACCTGAGGTCCCTCTGGCCTTCTCAGGACTCCACCTGTATTGCATTTCCTAGTGCTGTCTGATACTTGATCCTTCTCATCACACCTACGAATTTTTATGCCTGAAATTCTCAGTCACTCACGTTCTGGTTTTCCCCTATTGGCCCACAAATACTAACTCTTTTTTTTTTTTACTGCAGGACATTCCTTGGAAACCTCCAGGAAACCAAGCTGCTGCCCTTTGAAGTCTCAGCATTCAGGCTGGCTCACTTCTTAGGCCTTTTGCCTCCACCCTGGCAGCACTGACCACCCCTTGCTTGGGTGAGGGAACTCTTCCTTGGCTTCCAGGTCTCCCGGCCTTTCTGGGTTTCCTCTCATTGTTTTTTAATTCCTTTTCCCTTCTCCCCATTCCTTAAATTTCAGGTTCTGTCCTGTGCTTCCTTCAGCTATTCCACTCCACCCTTCTCCCTTACCCTTTACCATGCATCAAAGTTCCAAATATTTCTCCACCTGAATCTATCTACCTCTCTCTGAGGTCCTTGCCATGCTCTCATTTCTGTCATCTCTCGTCCATATTTCTACTGACTTCAGAACTGGCTTCTGTTGGCCCCACGTACCACCTCTGTTCCTCACAGTATGGTCAGAGGCAGTCCAAATGTGACACTCCTTTGAGTTGCTTCTGTGACAGATAAAGCTCAGGGCTGGCCTGACTTGTCTCTCAGCTTAGCGCTTCATCTTACTTTTGCAGTCTTTACTGAGGCCCAAGGCCTGTCCCCATGATCTGCTCTACTGTGCCTTCCTCCACATTAAAATTCCCAACATTTTGCACCCCACACCTGCAGCCTTTCCTCTCTGCCCCCGTCACCAGAGTGTGCTGACATCATTCTACTCATGCCACACTCCCTTCCCATGCAACTGTTCCCAAAACCTTGTGAACACTGGTTTCAAAGGATACATACGAGTCGCATGATTAAGAATTTTATGAAGTCACAGGTTAAGAACAAAGAATTTAGACACAGCCAAACCATTTCCCCCTTTCCTCAGGCCTTCGTCGAGCCCCTTTGTTAATGTATATCCTGATTCTTTAAGAGGGTGATTGTGGTAAGTGGTTTCCTGAATTAACTTGGCCATGGAACTCTTGCTATGGGATATTCATGTTTCAGTGTGAGAAGTACTGTTTTAGTGTTGAACACAATTTACATTCCTTGGCAGGCCTGAGAATGTGGACGGTGCCATTTGCTTAGCTATATGACACTAGACAAATTTTTCTCCATGCCTTTATCTACAATAGAGGATAATAACAGAGTATGTCATAGGCTTGTAGGATTAGAATTAGTATTTTTGTTGTTGAATCAATGCTCTTCATAGTACATATAACAGTACACAACAGGACACGTGGCAGACGATAGGTGTCCAATAAGGGTCAGGTATTTCCATATTGTCTCTAACCACTATCTTCCTTCTTCTCACCTCCCACTATCTGTGGGGCCCAGGCTTTCCTTTCTGATCTTGGAACTGTATCTCTCTTTCTGGGGCTGCTTTTCCCTCTGCCTGAAATTCTTTTGTCTTTCTCTTCTACCTCCACTTTAAAAAAAAAAAAAAAAATTTAGGACAGGGTCTGCAGGGTGTTTAAGGTCTCACTGGTCGTGATCCGCTTGTTTACAGCTACCCAAGAGCTGGGATTACAGGTATGTGCCACCACGCCCAGTCTCAATTGCCCTGCTGTCTCAGTGGGCCCCAGAGGCAGGACTGGCACAGCAAGCCGGAGGATTGAATCCCCAGCCCCTGCGCCAGCTTGCAAGAGCTTTAATCTGCTGAGCTATTTGGCCGGCCCTTATCTCCACTGTTAACCTCACTTTTCTTTTTCTAGGTCAGTTTATGACCTGCCAAATACGTATTTGTCAGACAACTACTCTTCATGTACCTGGCAGTCAGGTCCTAACATTTAATACACAGACTCCCCATACAGGGCAGGGAGCAAGACTTCGTTCGTGTGGCGTTATTCCCCTGCTTCTGCTGTGATCTGCAACAGGTCACATTTTGTTTGCCCCCTTCTCAGATGCCCCACTACACTTTTAACTGCTCCAGGGTTTTTCGTATCGCATACCCAGAACTTACACAGAATAGTTTCTGGCACGTAACTCAGTAAATGTGTTGACTGGATAAATCAATCTGTCTTTCACTCCACCGAACTGTGTACTGCCTGCCAGCATGGACCAGGTCGTTTTGGCTGAGCCCACTTCCTTAGCAGTAGCTAAACACTGAAAAATCTGTCATAACCTCACCGCTCAAGATTGCATTTTATATTTTATGACAAAGCTGTTGCACCCGAGCACATGGTCCAGCACATACTGGACTTTAAATTCTTGGACGCAACCAGAGTTAAGGACTGAGTGGCCCATGCCCTCACACCCCTTCCCCGCCAGCCGGCACTCACGCTGCGCGCTGCAGTTGCCTCAGCAAGTGCGCGACCCGGGCCTGGGCTGCGACGGCCATGGCTTGCGAGGTCCTTCTGGCCACCTGGGCTCCGCCCCAGCTGCCAGCCAATCCCAGCTGCTGCACCCTGCCCATCCCCTTGCTGGCAAAGTCCCCTAGCTTTGCAAGGCCGCAAGGTCCCCAGGCCCAGCTTTAGGAAGCAGTAGTTCAGGACCCTAAGGCCATTTTCCCACCGGGAGTCAGAACCTGGGCCACCACAGCCGAGCTGCCAGGTCCCACCATCCAGCTCTAAAACTGCCTCAAAGCCAACTGCACCCTAGGGCCTGGGATGGTGCCTCACAAGTCTCTACAGGAAAGCTGCTATACTTTACAGGTGGGGGACTTGGGAAAGGGGAGGAGGAGGCACTCTTCCTCTCTGAATTCATTACAATGGCACTTTGTCCTCGTAAAGTATTTTTAAATTATCAACGCACTGCACTTAAATTTTCTATGGTAATCCAGAATCTTAAAAAGTCCTAGAGTTCTTGTGTTTCTGTAATAGGACCAGTAATGTATCCCACTGATGAATCAAGCCTAAGAACAAACAACCACAAAACGTCAGAATTTGAAAGCTGTTATGTAAACAGTTTTGCTTTCCATAAAGTTTTTCCAGGTGGCATTAAATGGTTTTGTGGGTAGCTAGAGCTTGCTATGATTACACTACAACTCTAGGACAGCTCAGCAGTGCTAAATTCCACATTATTAATACTGTACTATGATATATGATTTATCCTTTCATAGCAATACTAAGAGACCTGCACTGGAAAAATGAGACAGCATTTTTCAAAAAGGGGATGACAAAGCTACTACCAAATTTTATTTTTTTTTATCAACTGTCAGCAAAAGCAGCAGATGACTTACTCTATTGCAGTGAAAAGGCCCCCAGATTCTTGATCTACTATGAATCACTTCTAGAAAATACTTATTTGTAGAGACTCATACAGAAGATGACCCAGGGCAGCTATATACATTTTGCCTCCTAATCAAACTGATATGGGTCAATATAACAAATTACTCAAGATAGTTGACATTCCAATTAAGGATTTTCTGGGGCTCTTTCTCTTCCCAAAACAAATGGGTTACAAATATTGAGAAACATTTAAGTACTGTCTAGAAAAATAAAGGTCGTCATTATTTATAATGTAGCTCAAATTTATCAATTATATTAGCATGCAGTGCTACAAGCTGTTTTTTACAAACACCAGCTGTACTACGCTTTTAATTTTATATTTTGGAGAAGTTTGTGTTTTTCTAATAAAAATGATCTCAAAGCATTTTAACTTAAGGGGTGGGGACATAGCTCAGGGGTATAAGTGCTTGCCTGGCAAGGCCCCCCGAGTTCAATCCCTGGTACCGCAAAGAAAAGCAAGCAAGCATTATAATTTAACTTCTGTTTTTAAGAAACAAAAATAATTTATGCTGCAAATCCAAGTCAATGGCATCATATCCACTCTACCAAGTCAAAAAGTTAAAAGCATTACACATTTTTATTAAATAACTTTTATAATAGTTACTCGTAAATCCAGTTAGAAAATAACTTCCTCTCTGCTTACAAGTGTTATAATAAAGTGTTATAATAAAAATAACGCAGGAATGTGCAAATCACCTATTAACTTCCTGAAACATGACCAACTCCTAAGTCCATATCCAAAATGTAAATGCAAGATAACTCAAAGAATAGAATTCTTTCATGGCTTCAAATTATCTCCCCAACTCTTAGGCCCTCAAACATACCCTTATCTCCACCTAAGTTCTTGGTTAACTCTTACAGTCATCTGTGGAGAGCAGTTGTGTCCCTTCAACTGGCAAGTTCAATGAAAGCAACAGGCACCTCATTTTCCACCCTCTAGAATTTAACATTTTGCATATACAGTACATTCTTCTTTTACGGAACAGGGACATCCCTTCCGATGAAAGTTATTACTTCCTCCTCTTTCCTCCTTGGCGCTGCCCTCCTTTCCTCTTGCTACCCAAACCAGGGGGCTGGGATTGTGTCCTGCCTCCCAAACCTCCTTTTCTCTTCCCTCCCTGGCTGGGCGGGCCACCTTTCCTCTTGCCCCCAGCACCCTGTCGGCCCCCTTTTCTCTTGCCCTTCGGGCCCATTTTCTTCCTCTTAGCGGCCTCTTCTTGGTCCTCCTCTCTCATCTGCTTGTTGGTGGCCCTCGTCACATCTAGCTTAGGCCTCTTGCTGTTCATGATGCGAAGTAGCTCCAACTGGTTCTTTTTCTCAGCTGCAAAGTCCCCGAAAAGGGGCTGGAACTTCCTCTTTTTGCCCGAGCCCGGGGCGCCTTCTCCTTGGGCAGGCGCTCCTGGAAGCGCCCCACGGAGGCGGTGGAGACCTTCGCTACCTGCATGGCGCGGCCCAGCTCCTCCTTACTCTGGTGTCCGGTCGGGTGCATGCCGGCCGCGGGGGGCTGCTGCGCCTTGTGCGCGCGGGCCAGGTTACGCAGCCGGTTCAGCTCGTTCTTGGCCACGCGCTCCTTCTTGGCCTGAACCCGCTTGGCAAACTGATCTTCCAGGGGGTCGGCGCCATCGGGCACTTCGATCAGCCACTCCTTAGTGTCGTCCCGGGCGCGCTGGTAGCCCCAGCGGCGCCGCCACTGGCCGCTCACCTCGTCCCACACCAGACTGGTCTTCTTCTTGGGACGGATGCCCTTGAGGCGCGCGAACTGCTGCCAGCGGGTGAGGGGCCGCGGCTTGGGCACTGGCTTCTCGCGCGGCAGGCGGGTGGCGGGCTCCGGCAGCCGCGCCACCACCGCCTCCTCCACGCGCTCCGTGGGCAGCTGCCACAGCTGGTTGATGAGCAGCTGCGTGTTGTCGCGCGCCAGGGCTCGCAGCTCGGCCTCCGGCGCCGGGCCGGCCTGGCGCAGCGCAGTCGGGGGGTTCCGGTCGGAGGCCAGCAGGTTGCCCAGGTCGAACTCCAGCTCTAACTCCTTGTGCACCGTGATGCGCTGCAGCTTCTCTACCTCGTCCTGCTCCGCTTTTGCCAGGAGCTCTTCCACGCTGGGGCCCTCCATAGCTCCAGGTCAGCTGCCTCGCTTTAGTGCAGCTGCGGAAGTTACTTCTCCCGAGTCGAGACCGGGTACCGGCAGCACAACCACGTGCGGACGCCCAAAGCACTCAAACCGGAAGAGAAGGGTTAACTTCCGGGGCACCCGGAACTTGTCGGGCTTCGGGCGGTCAAAAGAAAGGCCGGCAGAGGGCGGTATTGGAGAGCAGATGGCGCTGGGGGTGGAGCCGTTAGGCTGGAGCCCGGATGTAGGCGGTAATCCGGTTTGGGACTTCGATTCCCAGGGTGCACCGGGCTGGAGGAGGCGGGAGCGTGCGCGCGCCGTTCGAATTCCGGGGCTGCTTTTGGCTTGGGTTCCAGGTTGAGTGGGGTGTTCAGCCTGGGAGGTAAATTGTTTTACTAGCGTCGTAGCCCGCCTTCGGAGTCCTGCGTGAGAGCGGAGACTCGGATCTACGGAAAGGTGGGTGCAGTGCCAGGTCTGCAGCACCCCGGCGGGCTGAGTGCTCCTGGGTCGCTTCGTCTAGTGACAGAGTACTCGCCCGGCTCTTCACTTATACTACCTGATTCTAATCCCGGTGGTGCCAGTGTTTGACCTTGAGTCAGTTGTTTAGTAACTTTTTTTTTTTTTTCTTTTTCTTTTTCTTTTTCTTTTTCTTTTTCTTTGTATTGGGGATTGAACCCAGAGCCTTCGCACTGAACTACATTCTTAAAATCATTGCGTTTAAAATCATTACTAGTTTGAGGTAGCGTCTCACAAAATTGCCCTGGCTGGGCTTGAACTTGTGACACTTCTGCTGTCTCCCAGAGTGCGACACAGGCGAGGGCCACCACGCCGGCTTGTTTAGACCGTAAAACACTGCTAGATGGGGATACTATTAGCACTTATCAGGGCTGTTGTAAATCGGCTAATATGTCCCAAGGGAAGCGCAGACCAAGGCTAAATGCCAAATTATGTAATGCTCATTATGGCCCAGTGAACTATTATATACGGGCTTAAAAGAGAGATTTCCTGAGTCAGTTTTCCTCGGTTTATCATTTACTGTGTTTTTGATAGGTTAGACCTAAGCCCAACTCATGAGTTGATAAATATGAAACATTAATTGCTGGTACACCAGCAGCGTTAACTGCTCTTGTTACTACGTTATTTGCACTGATGAAAAAGGAAGGCTTAGGAAGCAAACTGATACATGTAAGGTTATGCACCTAGAAAACCTAGGAACAGGAGATGCCTTAATTGTGTCTTTTAGGCTATTTTCTTCAATGTGATAGATCTTCATATTCAAAAAGTATAGTCTGCTAACCAGCACTATATCTTCACCAGGGAGCTTGTTAGAAAGGCAGAATTTCTGGGGCGGGGGAGATGGCTCAGTAGAATAAGCGCTTCCCTGGCAAGTGCAAGGGCCTGAGTTCAATCCCTGGTTCCGCAAAAAAAAAAAAAAGGAAGGCAGAATTTCAAGTCTTACCCCAGATGTAATTTAATCAGAATCTTAATTTGAATAACATTCATAGGTGATTATTTGTATACATTGAAGAGTGGAAGAGGTCATACTAGAGAATTAATAGAAATGAACGTAGTAGCAGTTAGGAAATAGATGCAGTTGAATTTCATCATTCAATTGAAATTCATCATTCAAGTAGGCTCTACTTTCTTCCTCTTAGCCAACAGCATTTAAGGATTTATTGACCCCTGAGCCTTTGCCTTAACATCTAGCATCAAGTCTTCAATGTCAGTCACCCCAAGAGCCATTGCTAAGTCATAACAGTGCCTCCTACAAGTGCAATTGGAGGCCTAGAGCTCATGATAATGTCTCATGCAGGCCTGTTTCACAGATCTGCCCTGGGAAGGCCCCAAAGGTCAGTGGTGGAAGCTGAAGTCTGCCAGTGGGATGAAGAATTTGTTTTAGCAGGCTAAGTGAGCTGACCTGGAGCCAGGAAGTGACATGTAAGGTAAGCACCAGAGCTCAGTGAGGTTCCAAGCTCCTCCAGTGGTAAAGTGGAGTTCTCGTTAGGAAAGCCAATATGACAAGCTTCTCCAGGAGACTGAGCTGTGCACCATCTTCCCCTCCAGAGTCAGGGTGAGGACCAAAGCTCCCCCAAAGTGAATCATAGCCAGTCTCAGTGACAATGAAGTCCTGAGATCCTCCGATGATGAGAACAGCCAAGTCCACCAGGAAAGCCAGTATGACAGGGTCCCCCAGCAGAATAGCCCAAGAGAACTAGCAGCTTCCAACAGTTTCCTCAGTTTGCCTCTTACACTGCTGGCAATAATCTCCAAGTGGGTCTCCCACAGCCAGCATTATGCTAGTTCAGTTCAGTTGGTATAACAAGTTGACTACCAGTTGCCAATCCACAGAAGATGACATTACCAAAAACATTCTTAATAATATAGTATGGTTGAACTTTTTTTTAAACTTTATTTTAAAGAGAAAAAAGTAATAAAAACGATGATGCATAATTTTAAAAGAATTTTTTTTTTTTTTTTTTGGCAAAACTGGGGATTGAACTCAGGCCCTTGTGCTTGCCAGGCAAGTGCTTATTCTACTGAACCATCTCTCCAGCCCCTTAAGAGAACTCTTAGTAGGAAGTATTAAGGGAAGCAGGTACAGGTGTGTTTCTTTTGTGATGCTAAATTGTTCCTTATACTATTACTGGGAAGAGTGAGTTTGTGTTCTCTAAAGTCAAGGGATGAATTTCGGTTATAATGGAGGTTAAGAGCAGAATATATTTATGAGGGAAAGCAAGCTTATGTCTGAGAGACAGAAGGAGGACCCAAGTGGTTGCCAAGGTTGCCTTTCCTAGGGATCTTATGGAGCAAAACCATGAGTGAGGTGGGTCCATGGTGGGGGAAAATGGGAAGGGCATGAGGAGGGACAAAACTATGGTCAACCAATAAGATTACAAGTATAATTGCTCAGATAAAATTGATGAAATAGGGATCAAATGGGGAAGTGAGTCACATAGCAAGGGGCATGAATACAGAAAAGGGGCTCTTTCTGTAGGGGGTTGGGTTAGTGACTCTTCCTGGCTTTCTTAAGGTGATTGACACACATTTAGAATATCAATCCCAATAGTGCATCCCTAGAGAGGTATATGGGTGCATTTGTTTCTTCTTTTGTCTTGAGCTCTGGCCCGGATCAGAAGTGCCTGTCTTTCCCAGAGTTCCAAGGTATCTTGTCTTTCATCCTGGCTCCTTTGAGGGCCTGAATCTATGTGACTGTCCATAAATTTCTGTCTAATTTAGCTGCCTACAACAATTCTTTCATCCTGGCTCCTTTGAGGGCCTGAATCTATGTGACTGTCCGTAAACTTCTGTCTAATTTAGCTGCCTACAACAATACAACTACAGTGGTGTTGTTCCAAGAAAAGTATACCTCCCCCCACACTTCTCACTGATTGATAAAAAAGTGAGCCAGCTGAAAAAGTCTTTGTTTTGCTCATCCTGAAGAACTGACCTCCTGGTTCCCCTTCATGTGTTCATAATATTGTCTCTGTGTTCTATTTCATCCTATATGAGATGCCTCTCATATAGGCAGTTGGGGGTCTTGGCCAGGTCCCAGCATCCAGTGAAAGATTACCAGACCTTAGCAACCTTATAAATGCTTTTCTAAGGGCTGGCCAAAGAGCACAGCGGATTAAAGCACTTGCTTAGGCAGACACAGTGGCTGGGGTTTGATCCCTAGCCTGCCAGTCCCACCCCCGAGGTGCGCTGAGATGGCGATTGAGACTGGGTGTGATGGTGCGTGCCTGTAATCCCAGCTGTGAACACAGGTGGATCACAAGAGTCCCATCTACATAGTGAGACCCTGTAGACCCTATAGACCCTTACTTAAAAAAAGAAATATTAGTAAAATACTTTCTTCTCTGTTAATGGGTCTGTCTGATTTCCAAAGCTTTGCCCCTTTTGGCTTTTCTTCACAAACTGAAGTCCTATTTTCAGATCCTTCATAACATAAGCTTTTGCCTTTAAAGCATGCTATTGGCTTAGTTTTAATTACCATTGTCACTGAAGCAAGTTCCCACACATGGCTCTGGCATCTATCCTTTATGCTTTTTTCCCCCAAATATTCCCACTCTTATTTTTCATCTTAGCCATCTTTTCTGGAGCTTTAAAAACATTCCTCATAAAGACAAAAGAATGAGATGCAGGCAGAAAAAGCAGCAACTATATGTAGCAACAGTTGTGAAGTTTCTAATTAACAAAAGTGAACTTACAAGGAGAGGCTTTTTCCCTCCAAATATGGTGATATGAAGGTAAAAGACATGAAAGTAATGTTTCTCATCTTTTCTCAATATGTGGCTACTTTGGTCAATAAAACTTTTTAAAAAGCGAGTTCTTAATTTTTTTAGGTACTGCATTGAGGGGACAGATGGGCTGTTAGATAGGGTTAGAATAGGGACACCAACCCTTTAAAAGTAGAAAAATGGCCTCTGTACTGAGCAGACGCTTTTGTAGTTTACCCTTGAAGCAGGTGGTCTGTGGTTTTGCTTTTGCTTGTGTGGAGGTGGAACTCTGCCCTGGTTCCCCTTTGTGCAGGTTGCCATACCTACACTAGTTCTTCTATTAGTCCACAAAACCGACACCCCCACAATAAGCTGGCCACCCAATTGAGTGCAGCTACCTTTGAAGAGAGGGCGCCCCTGCCCCATGAAACAGGACTGCTGTCCCATATTCAGTGGTTACCAGCTCTGAGGCCCCCACTCCTCAGTAGTGTTTCTTTCTGCAAATAAACTTTACTTTTTTTTTTTTTTCAGAACCGGGGATTGAACTTAGGCCCTTGCGCTTGCCAGGGAAGCGCTTATTCTACTGAGCCATCTCCCTGGCCCCTTTACTTTTTCTTTGCACCAACTTCTGACTCCTCTTTGTCACCTACATTGGAGAAAGGGACAAGTCCTGGGAAGTTTGAGGTTAGGCTGGCAAACCCAGACCCATAGGACATATTTTGGGGATTCATCCACATTACAAAAAATCCACAAAGACCACTGGACATAGTATAACCCAGCCTAAAAATGAGTGAAGGCAAGAGGACATTCTATCCTCATCTCCCTTTCCGAGGATTCCCTTGACCTTGATCTTGCACAGTTAGAATGTCTTGGCTGGGACCTTTGGTGATGGGAGGAC